TATCAGGCTTTTTAATGGCTATCACCCTTACTCGTCTCCAATCGTCGGGAACAATATTGAGCTCCAAGAACTGATTGTACAAGTTCAACATGCGCCTCTTAGCGACGTCTGGGAGGTTTTTCAGCAAGTTGAACTTGATTCTATCAGATCCCGGGGCAGAATTGCCACACGAAAGGAGAGCGAGTGAAAGTTCCACCATTGAAAAAGGCTGACTGATTTCGTCTACCGAATTCGCGGTTTCGTGAGGAATCAACTGCGACGGCACGGAATCTGGACACACTTTTCGCGCGAATTTAAGAATCCATTGATCCGAGCATTCCTCGCTTTCGTTGTTAGTAGACCGGTTACGCATCCTTCGCGCCGTACTCCAAAGCGTATTCATAGACGTTTCGCGCGACAATCCTTCTACAAACCGTCGCCAATAATCCCGTTTTTGGCCTTGATGAGGCTCTTGAGTTCGCGTTCAAGAGATGTGTATGCGTTGAAATGCTCGCGTGTTCCGCGTTTCCGAAAAAGTTTAAACGCGTCGGACTTTTTACGGTAAACCTCCGTGCATTGTTGATCCCACCAGAGCGATGGTGTTTTCTTACGAATAGACGATCGCGGCACCGGTCGTGTTTGAGCTTGAAGTGCGCTGTCGACGATGAGATTAGAGAGGAAATTATATTCCTCCAACGGCGGAAGCTCTTCCACTGACGATGCTGTATCGTCTATCGCGGATTGGAACTTAGTCCAATCGATGTTACGGGTTAGATCATACGCGACGTTAACGGATTCTGACGAGTTGAACCCACTGGCAATCGAAATTTTGATCGGCAGATGATCACTACCGTGCGGATCCTGGATTACATGCCAAGTGCAATCCAACGATAGTGAATTGGAGCAAAAGGTGAGGTCTAATCTGCTACCATTCGAGGATGGACCAGCCAAACGTGTTACTTCTCCATTGTTAAGTATTGTCATGTTGAAGTTGTCGCAGAGATCATAAATCAAAGTAGAACGGTTATCATCGTACAGCTCCCCCCAGCCTGTACCGTGGGAGTTAAAATCTCCCATGATCAACCATGGAGCGGGAAGTACCGCACATATGTCGAAAAGTTGTTTGCGATTAACAGAGACTCTAGGAGCAATATATACAGAAGCAATACAAAGGCTCTTACCTTTAATGGTAGCCTGACATGCGACAACTTCAATACCGGGGAATTCGGGAAGATTCACTCTATAGAAGGAATGGCACTTTTTGATCCCCAAAAGTACCCCTCCTCCACGTGAATCCTCACGATCCAATCGAATAATGTTAAAATCAAAAAAAGGGAGATCAATTTCTGAAGAGAGCCATGTTTCACAGAGGGCAAATGCATCGCAATTATTGTTATGGACTAAATACTTGAACGAATCTAATTTCGGAATAAGACTTCGACAATTCCACTGTAGAACAGTGATCAAATCCCTGACCTCGTTTGGAAAATTATCCATCGAAGGAGATGATAGCTGCAAGAAGGGGCCATTTTGAAGTCAATTGCTTCAAGAAGGATTTCACAGTCGGAAGCAATGTGAGGACAATGCTTTTCAGAGGATCAGAAATGTTGAGGTATTTGAGAATACCGTCCACAATGTCATCAAATGAGAACAGCCCAGATGAAGAAGGGGTTTCTGTTCTTAAAATTGGGGCATCAGGGGTTTTGGATGTCTTCGGAAGAGGTGGAAAATCCTGAGTATAATCAGTTCTGCGGAATCCAGGAGGAGTAGAAGTCTCCTTTTTTCCACCACTCCTTGATTTGGGCAAGCTGATTTGGGGTTCTTGATCTGCAACTTTCCGCGAACGGATGCGTTTTCGTTTCCGGGCAGAACCTTCCGGAAAACTGAAAGAAACTCCCTCCTCAGCCAAGTCAGAGCCAGACTCGTCATCTGACAAAAGAGCGAAGGGATTTGTTTCGTTGGTCGATGGCTTGGCTGTCTTAAGCATTTCTGCAAAAGACCGCCTGGAACGTTCCTTAAGGGAGCGTTTCATTTTGTCCCCGAGCTGTTTGTACGCCGGGCACGACGAGAGAGCATGAGGAGGAGTTCCATTGCAGTACACGCATTTTGGTGCAGTAGCTGCGCAGGCGCCATCCTCATGCTTCTCCCCGCATGTGGAGCAGCGTGCCTTGTTGCCGCAGTGGGAGGCCGTATGTCCCAACCGCTTACAATTCTGGCAGTTCATGACCCGAGGTACAAACAACCGCACAGGAAGACGAAGTTTTCCCAGCTCGATGTATTGAGGAAGGGCAGATCCAGAAAAGGTCACCCGAAACGAGTCTGTGGGGGTAAAACTCTTTTTACCCTCGCTGAGCGATACTGACTTCATTCTATGAACGGCCAGTATCTTTACCGGAGGAAGCAAGGGGTTCTTAAATCGGCCAACCGCTTGCTTCTCCAGTATCTCGGGGTTCAGGCTCGCCTCAGTGACCACGCCTTCTATCTCCACATCAGAGGCTGGAATGTACACCCTATATTCCAGTGTGAAAAACTGGGAAACAGCAATTTCATTGGCCTGTTTCAGGTTAGCGACGGTCACACGAAGTTTGTTGTGCCTAACCTTCGTTATTTCGGTTACGGCAGAGAATCGCTTTGTCAGATCATCAGATATCTGAACAACATTCAAGGGTTTGTTTTTGGGCTGAAAATAGACAACCCATGGGCCAGTCGAGTCATTCGGGTAGGCCCGCAATCTGGTGCTTTTCTCATCCTGCCCATTGACAGACTGAGACGACGAACCAGGGATGACATCATCATTATTCTGAGATGAATGGTCATCCATGTCGTCTTCTGACAAAACATCCATTTTGTTCAACTAGTGGGAGCGCAAAACGCTCTCCCACTGAACGCACAGACACAATACACAGAAAACACTACAAACACAGAAATACAAAATGAAAATTTAACTAATGGGGAGGAAAAGAAACAAAAAAAAAACAAAAACTTATCTGATACTACTATACTACTACCACCGAGCGTTATATGTGTAGGCGTTTACACAGATGGCTGGAAGAGACGCGCTGCGTGGATGACCTTCGTTGTGGTGCACTTGATCGAGGCTCGGTACTCAGCGCACACAGGCGCACGATGATTGATGAACGATGTAGATGTAGAAACGGGTGCTCACACTCGATGATGATGATACGTAAGCGGGTATGCGTGAGCGCGTATGCGTGACCACGCAACGATGATGCCCAAATTGGTTTGCGAATTACCAATAGCACGGATTAATCGTTCCGAAAATGACACTTTCTACTACAAAAAAACTCACTTTTCGATCAATTTACCGGGAACTATGCCAGGAGTCACTTAGTGAGAAAAAACTGATAATTTATATCAAGCGAATACCGAGAAAACTTCCAAAACAACGGAGCGCGAAACAAGTCGACCGTACTTCTTGCTAGGACGCAGTGAGATGTAGACCAGAGGTTAGGGGAATCCCTTTAAACTAGCCCATCTGGCTAGCCATTAACACATCATAACAAGCTATGACCGACGTAGCGATTGTTAAGGCCCTGATTAAAAAATATAATAAAATTAAATTACGTTCTCGAAAGCAGTCAATAATATATCCCAAACTGGATCAAGCGTGCACTCTATGTCGATCAAGGTTTTCTTCGGCATCTAGCTTGGTATTGAACACCTATCTGCAACGGATCGCCTTCCTATTCTTAGGAAGTTCCACCAGGGTCCACGTTCCGTTATCCATCAAAGCATCGTACTCCTCCTGCATGGCATCCTTCCACCTCTCCGCATCGTCACGAGACCTTGTTTCTTGACGCGTAACTGGGTCATCGGGGATTGTGAATCATATTCTACAAAATTGTTTGCCGTACAAAAATAAATATTTTTGCTGAACATTGTAACAAGCTATCTCTTAAAATTAAAATATATATTCAAAAATAAGACATTATTAAAAAATACCTAAAAGATCGCGTGCTGCCACATGTATTTATAAATTTTCGGCAGTAAAATAAGTATAGATTCAGAATCCTTCCTAAAATTTTGCGCCGGAAATAGTTATTTGAGGAGCAAATACCCCTAAAAATATCGATTATTTAAGAATAACTTTTTTGTTTCAAGAGATAATTATTTACAATGTTCAGCAAAAGCATGTGTTAAAACATGCAAAATATAAATGTAGAAAAACCAAAATTGAAGGATGCCAAGAAAATCAGGGGCTTTTCACGAAAAATGATACATATCTCGCAATTTATAAGAGCTACAAATTTTGAGTGTTGAGCAAAGTTGCTTAAAATAACATTTTCTACAACTTTATTCAAGACGTTAAGTCTCTATCTGAATTAGATAAAAACATATTTTGTTATCTCACTTTTAGGTAGATTAATCACCAAACCGTCTACATCAATATAAGCGGATTAACATATGCAAAAACATCTTCAAACAAACTATACCCCTAAAATCAATGTTTGAAAAGCTATTAAAAAAGCGCACAAAAACGGCAAAAAGCAACACTGTGCAATGTATCGAAAAGGCATGAATGGATCATATTGTAAATAAGATATATTTGATCTACGTCCTTAACTGTCTGGATAACAATAATGTGACACATAATGCACAGAATTACACTTCTCGTTACCAGGTCAATCTTCGTCATTGGCGAAAAAGTGAATGGGATTTGTACGAAGGATTTTTTGAGAATCAATTCTTCCAGTGACGATGCCAAAAAACAATGTTGTCAATATCGCGTGGTTTTTTTTCAATTACAATGACAAATCGCAGCACTGGCTAAGAGCAAACATGATGGCTGCTGATATGCCCTATCGCTTAAAATTTTTAAGTGAACAAATATCGAACATTTTTGCAACAGTGCTTATGAAATTGGGACTTCTTGTTTTGTGAGAGTCGATAATTGTGCTCTTGAAATTTTGAATTTCGATGATAATGCGATCAATCATAAATAAGGCTTCCACAACGATTCACCTTAACAACTCGTACATCGAAATACACTCCACACTTACCACTGTATCCGTCTCGATTGATATCTCCTAAAGTTGATATTGAGTATCCAAACTGTCCACTTCCTGTGTAGTTCGACTCCAAGCTTTGCTGTTTCTCCAGTATGACCAGTCCTTCCGAATCGAACCCCCGATTTATGTACACAAAAACTGCTCCATGATCACTCACAGAATTCCTCGACAGAAAAGGAACTCCAACCATTACATCAACGATTCCATCACCGTTAATATCCTCTGTACACAACGAGTATCCATAATAATCACCAAAACTGTCTGAGGAGAGAACACTGTGTATTTTCATACGGGCTGCTTTTCGAGGAACTTTCTCCACTTGAAACACATAGACCTTCCCTGATCGTGGAGCACCGACTAAGTAGATTGTGTTGTTTTCCACTAGCATCGAATCTACACTGTATCCGAAGTAGCCATTTGCTTCCAGCTGGGATGAGTTCACAAGCATTCCTGTCTGTAAGTCGCCACTGTAAACAATCACCGATCCTGTGGAATTATACCCCGGCATACCGGTCAGTATTCCCAGTTGATTGTCATCACGTCGAAACACGCGCACTGCGAAACCTTCCAGAGCCGTGTCTACCGCAATAGTCGCTGTGAAAATAATAATGATAATTTTCTGACAATTCAATCAAGGCGGAATGCACTAATTACATTTTCTATAGTTAAACGCTTGCATCTGGTTGTAGGTCGTTCCGTTAACTCTTGTATAGCAAGCACCAACCATAGCATAACGGTTTTCATCGGCGGTCATCCTTGGAGCGCACGCAACAAACACCTCCTCATTTGCCAGGCCATCTAAAGTAGCTCCGAAATATTGTCCCGACATCAGTATTTCATTCACAAAGCTCCGATCTTCCATTTGTAAATAGTTTTCACAGAAGCCCGAACTAACATCACATTGATATATAAGTCCAGAATTGTTAACAGCATTGTATCTTTGACTGTACGTTATCGCCCTAGGTGCACCAATAAAAACACTACTCTTCGTCAGATGTACCGCTAGCCCAAAATAGGACTTTTTGACGTGGGGGGTATTCCGGTGATTCGCCGGTTCAGTGAAGATCACATTGGGAACGGGCGAAATATTATATCCTACGATATTTCCAACAATCTCAAACGCAGTGAGCACTACAGTTAGGCGATGAGTCATCGCCATGGTGTGGTTGCTATGGTTGCACACTGTCAATGTGCTACTGCCGCTGCTGAGATTAACCGAGTCGGTACGATCGGTCGCGTGTTTAAAATGTTACTGAGCTGCAATGTGAGATATTGACTGAGTCGATATTGCGTTTGAATTGTTTGGAATGAGTAATGCCATCGTATTTAACCAACGCTAGCCGATAAGTAGTGACTTAATCATTGACTGCACGTATCGAGATGAATGAATATAAATGACTAATGTTAGGGTGGGTCCTGACAAGTTTTCACTATTTTTTTTTTGGCAGACGTCTGAACGTGAGAGGCATCAATGATATTGTTGACTAATGAAGTAGTTCGTTGGAATTTCATTCTTCAACTTAGGTTCTTTTTGAAATTACTCACAGTTCATTAACTGTTGTAATAAATAGTAAATAAATATATTATATAGACAACTTATCCAACTACATAATTCACCCTGACAAATGGAATTGTTTCCCACAATTTGTGGCTCAACTCACTGAACTAAGATAATATTCACAAATGAATTGATCTATTGATTATATCGTGGTTTCAGCAGTGATTTGCAAGATAGGGTGTGTGGTTCCTTGTTGCCACACTGGCAGTTGACCGGATAGTTTGGTAGAGTGGTGGTCTCAATTGGAGCTACCGTTGGAGCAGCACAACTTGTTGATTCGGTTTTTGGTGGACATTCAGTTGCTGTTAGTGGTGCCATAGGATTCAACGAGAATTCAGTTTCACCATTTGCCAGAGTATGTACTATCCGCTGCAGTAAGTCTCTGGGTAATTTGAAATGTGTGTCCTTGGGAACCTGCACACATATAGAAACTGGAAAATGTTCGTTGTTGTCTTCGCATGGTACCAAGGTGCCATAATGTTGACTCGGAAATGAAGCACTGTTGGCACCAATTAAGACCGATAACAATAAGCATGTCAGATGTTTAATCATTCTTGAACTTAACTATGATTGCCTGGAGTGTGGGTAAAGAACTGATCCAATCATAACCACGCTTCGTTATTTATATGATAGAAGTAATCATTCAATATGGTAATGTACACGTGCTACTACATAAACACAAACCAAAGCGTTCTTTAGTGTAAACATATTATTGTGTAGGGCGTACGACTTGCATAATGTAGAGGTTTTTTTTCGTAGGCCGTTGTTTTTTGCGACATCACGTGAATGACATATTGTTTGTGTGGACTCTTAGTTTTAGTCGGTCATGGCACAGAAATGTGATTCAGATGTTGTTACCGAAAACCATTTTGCGGTGAGATATACAGTGCTTTCCCGATTTTTTCAGCTCCCGATTTTGTCAACCTGCAGATTTCAATCAGTTGTACAGTTTTTAAACATGAATCCTCAAACTTTTCACTCTGAATGATTTTTATTCTTACCCTTCGCGTAAATTTGAATGTTAGGGGAAGTGAGGGTAAATACATAGAGGGTAAAATGAACAATTGACGATTTTAAGTGTTCATGTATTAAAATATCAATCAATATCGGAAATGCTAAATCTTGAAAAAATATATGTTCAGGTTGTGTGACTTTAAGATTATCCAATCCAAATGAATCAATACACAAATCCGCCTAAAGTTCTGCGAAACCGTGTGAGGGTTGCTACGGGATATTTTAGCTTGGATTGGATGTTTAACTTGGAGAATTGTAGAGTCAAGCGGAAGCCTTTTGGTAAGAGTGGACAATAAAATAGAAAACTAGCTAGATAGAATATAGCTCAACAGAAGATGTCATCAACAGTGAACTCGTTGTCGAAACATCCAGAAAGGTGTGCATAATTATGGACGTTTTATGCAAATGTGGGGTATACAATTGCAACAGTAAACTACAGTAGTTCAAATTACATAGATCGAATTTATGAAGACAATTTTCATAAAATTGTGAATAAACAAACAAAGAAATGGAATCATGTGAATCAGGCATTCCTAAATAAATACAAAGGTTATTTTCATAGCACCACTAAGCTATAGTCGGGATGATGCGACATAATGTTATACTAGAGAAATAAAGGGTTGCCTACAACATTTTTTAATCTATTATCAATGGAAGGGCTAAGCCTACACACTTAGAAATAATTGCCGACTTTGGTAATTTTTAACGAAATCTGAACAGCTGAACTGTTCGGTAAAATTTATGCAATTCAATTTCATTGCTTCTCAGCTACTTTGAAACTAAATCTCCACTAAAATTACAAGATCTGATCATTTAAAAAGGTTGAACATGTTTTGAAATTATTTTCAAATTCAATAGCCTTTAAAATGAAGGACAAAGTTTTACCGAACGTTCAGCTGTTTTTGTTTCGGTAAAATTTACCGAACACGAAAACAAAACCTTAGTGTTTATCAGCGCTGCCATTTATACAGATTTATCTGTATTATACAGATTTTTTAATCTTAATACAGACCCGATACAGAATACAGATTTATCACAGATTTTTAAATTACAATACAGATTTATACAGATTTTTATAAAATGCTTGAGAAAAAAAAATTCAAAATTTATAAAAACAAAATAACTTGCTCGATTTTATCAGCGTACCCCCTTCTCTCCAAAATTAGGAGGACAGAGGACCAACCGCTTTCGGATGCATATGGAGCTGGTAGTAAACGATTTGAGATTGCATGGGGATTTACAGTATTAATTGAATATTTCCAATATAAGCATGTATGTTAAATACAAGAAAAGTGCCCGAGCACATTAAAATGGTACAAATACAAGTACTCGTAAACATTTTACTTGCATTGAAAATGTATTTCGTAAGAAATTGCGGATGTTCTGATATTCTTCATACTGCAAAAATGATTTTACCAGCACTGGCGGGGCGACATCTCTCGACTTTTCGGTGTAACTACCACACAAATGATGTAATTAATTGTATTCAACTATATTAAAAATATCAAATAGTAATGAACTCGTGCACTTTTTTGCATTTAAAACTGCTTATCAGGAAGATAATGAATAGAAACTAAAATCTCCATACATTTTCAAACGGCTTCATATCACTCTTATAAATAATTACGGACGATATCACAAATGGCGCAATTATATCCCGTATGGTTAGTACGATAGCCCGAATAGGTGGTTAAGCACTTTTTATGGTTATTTTGTATGCACTGTATTTGTAAAACAACAAAACATGATTAATTAAGAAAAAAATCGTCAATACAGAAAATACAGATTTTTTAATAGAGTGGATACAGATTTTTTATAAAACCACCTGGCAGCTCTGGTGTTTATGTAAAAAATTATAACCAGGAGCATTTCCTAGAATAAAACAAAGATTTTTTACGTAGAACTACGTCTTTGTCGACTACAGTTCAGCTTCGAACCTGTTCGGATACGGTTGTGTATAAGTTTGTTTCTGTTTTGTGCGTGCGTTCGCTGATTTTGCCAGATTAGCGCTGGCACTCTGCCTCCCGGACGGTTATACGTGTGTGATTGGTGGTTTTCTCGCTTTCCGAGAAGTTTTGGAATCGAAAAAGAAAACGTGATGCATCATGTTTGCAGGCATCAGAAAAGATGTCGCTATTTGCGTTGTTTGTTTTTTTCTTCGCTTGTGCTCCCGGTACAGAAATTTGTGGCGTCGCGTGTGATAGTTTTTGATTTCAGTTTGTTTACGCGTTGTATGATTTTGTGAGCGGTCGCTTCGTGTTCGCGTCATGGAGCAATCGACTACATTCGACCAGAGGATTGATCCCCGTAGGGCGGGTCTATGATCGGAGCTACTACACCAAGCGTGACATAGCTGCTTGCAAGGGATTCAGTTGGACTGATTTGGTGAGATTGTTCCTTTTTTTTACTTTTGTCTATTTAAACTTAATTTCTATGAATGCCTATCGTTTGGAATCATTTGATTCGGATGAGACTCTTAACTTTTATTTGTTTACATTGTGTTTCAATCGGTATTCTTAAAGCAAACCCCACACGCATCAATATATTGACGCGAAGGGGAATTATTGACAATACTATTGATGATGTGAGTTCAGAAATATTGTCAATCTCGATGTATTGACGTCAATATAGAATGTATTGACAATACGATTATTGTCAATAAAAGCAATCGTGTAGGGTTCACTTAAGAACTTCACAAAATAAGGTTTCAATATTTAAATTGAGCAGCTCGACTAGCCTGGTGGTTGCCACTTTTGCTTACTGAGTAGAAGACCGTGGGGGATCAACATTGTAAAGATTCCCTATTTTCAGCTTTTTTACAGGCTGGAGTTGTTGTTTGAACCATTTAGTTTATCAATTTAATTTATCTGTATAACAATTATTCACAAGCATTCTTCCAGGTCAATTCAAGAATAGTTCCCAATATTCACGATCCTGTCAATCTCTCCGCGCATCAGACTGTTATTTTTCAATAATTCCACATAATTGTAATTTCATACCTTCCTCCTTCAAGATGAATGTTTAAGGTACACATACTTTGCTAGCTGACAAAATGGGGTCATTGCTGCATAATTATTCTCTTTTTGCAGCCTTCATTCAGACTGGATCTATTAATTTAAATTATTTGAGTTTTCTTCCAGCTCTTTGATGACGGAACATCACTAGATTTATACTGTAATGATTCACTCTTACAGCTTTCACCCTAGTTTTGTCTGTTGATTTGATTTGTTTGAATTGGTTTTCAGCTCTTTGGTGTTGGCAGTCGCGTGCGATCAATTTTGCTCATGCTCATGCTCTAAGTTTATTTTCAGCATTTCGATGATGGAACGTCTTCAGATTTATATTATAATGGGGCTTATTACGGGTGTCGCATCACGGTGAAAAGTTGTCACTTGTCACGGTGAAGTGATTCCCATTTGATTTGTACGGTAATCACGGCTCTTATTCTGAGTATCACTTGCTTATCACCGTGTAGTGACACCCGAAATAAGGCCCAATGATACACCATTTGGTTTTGTCTTCGGGCAAATCCAAGTATAATGCATGATAACACTGATTAATTTAAAACCATGGTCGCATCACTTATCAAGGTGAATCCTGATCCAACGAACCCAACTTACTAACAAAATCTCCTTTTCT